TCACTTCACCTCTTTGAATCTCATTCTGTGGCATGAGCTACCTCACCAAGTGAAGGATGCAAGGTGGTTAAGATGCAATAATCCCCCAATACTGTTGAGCAGGGAGAACTCTGCTCAGTATTTTGCAACAACCTAAACGGGAAAAGAATTTGAAAAAGACTAGATACATGTATATGTATATACATACACATGTATATGTATGAATCACCTTGCTATATACTGGAAACTACCACAACATTGTTAATACATTATACTTCAGTATAAACTAAAATTACAAAAGAAAAAAAAATCATGTGCAACCACCAAAAAACAATCCACAATAAATATTAGCTACTTTCCCTCTCACTAATATTGGTGGACCTCAATTAAATTGTACCATCTAAATATGTTTGAATTTTTTAACATGTATTTTTCTTTATTTGGCTGCACCAGGTCTTCGTTGAGGCAAGTAGGATCTTTGATCTTCATTGAGACAAGCAGGATCCTTTAGTTGGGTGTTGGGATCTAGTTACGTTAGCCACTGGATCACCAGGGAAGTCCCTGTTTGAATATTTGAGTTCAGTGTACTTCAATCTGTTTAAGTCATCCTTTTCAACACCCAGACGCCCAAGGTTTGCTTAACGACCACAGACAAAGGTTTCACATGTGTCCCAGGTTTAATCATGCTCTCATTCAGCAGGTTCCTCCCAGCAGCCTCCCTTGGGGTGTGTGGTTGTGCCAACAGCCCCCTGCGCGCACGCCAGCAGGGGCTATGGCCATGCTGAGCAGCAGTCAGGACCCCAGCCTGGGAGGAGACTTGGGGAGGCACGTGAACACAGAAGCCGGTCCTACAGCTGGGTCTTCTGTTTGTTCCTGTCATTACAGGAACATCTGGATTCCTTAGATGATACTGGGAAAAGCAAAGATTATGTTTGGCTGGCTGGTATATTTTAAGGGCTGTATCTCTTATTCTGCATGATTAGGAAGTCATTAGCAGCTTAAACTTGATGCCTCCCTCAGAGCTGATTCCATGGCTCTCTGTCTTGCAGGGCAGGATGAGAATGTGGGGGAACTCCTTTTATTAACAAGCTACCATTGTCCACCCCAGATTTTTAGGCTCGATGCAAACAAAACTTTCTGTCCTTCTGTTGAATAATTGATCACATAAGCCAACTTTTTCATGGGGCCCCATGGATCTTGGGAAAGGCAAGATGGACAAGTCAGCCAGTGGCCTGAGCCCTAACAACCTGCACCCAAACATTCCCATCCAGCTCCTACCGAGCACAAGAGGGATTACCTGGAAGAAAAGAGAAAAAAAAAATCAAAAATCAGAATAAAGGCTAAACTACAGAGTAATGTGGGACTGAAAGGATCTTCAGGCTCATGACCGGCTTAATTTGTGCTCGGGTCCCACCTCCACTGTGCAGCCTTCATTTCCATCCAGAATCAGCGCTCTCCTCACCTGCGAAGTGCAGCAGCTGACAGACCAGCCTCATCATGCTATTGGGGAGCCCATGAAATAGACCACCCCCCAAGCCGGGTGTGGAGCATCACACATACACACAAACACACGCACACACATGCCAGTGCAAGAACATGTGTGCCTGCATGCATGTACACAGAAACACCTGAGCAATGAAGGAGGGTAAAGTGGGAACCGCCTTCAGGACGGCTGTGAAGAGTAAATGGCAGAGTGCGCCCAAAGCACGTGGACTGCAGCCTTGCATGTCACACAAGCTCAATGAACACTTATTATTGTTGTTACTGTTATTAATATTAGTCTGGTTTATATTTATTCACAAACCAAAATATGTCAAACTCTCCCCCCGTCTCACCCTTTGGAATATACATGCTTGCTTTTTGCCAAGAAGAACTCTTGCCAAGAAGTGCTTTTGTTCTATGTATTTAGAAAACCCAGCCTAAACTATTCTTGGCTTTGTACCAGGAACCGAGCTAACTCTGCCTAAGATAGCATACAGACCCTCCCCATAGGAAAGCCAATAGCCCCTCAGCAGACCACCACCAGGCACCACAGCTGAGGAGAAACTCCAGACCCCAACCTTCTCCATATAAAATGGTTTTTAATTTTTTAAACTGATTCTCATTGGTTTAAAACTCCTCCATGTGATTCTACTCCTTTCCCTGGCATTCTTGTTGAGATCAGGAAAAATACAATTTTCCTTCCTGAGGAAAGTGCGATTAGGTGTGCACTGATTTTCTCTAAGTGACACAGCCTAAGCCCTGTAATTAATATCCCAGCCATCCATGGCCTCATAATTAAACATGAGACGCACAAGACGGGGAGAAGTCACAGGAAGGCAGGAGGTAAATCACTGGGCTAGTTTCTGCCACCCATTCCTGGGAGTCACACGGAAGGCGCGAGGCCCCCTGGGGAACAGGGTGCCCCTGAAGCCAGCTGGAGGTCGCCTGAGCCGACACAATCATTTATTTCCCATGGTGGCCTGTTTTCCAGGATGCTTCGTGGAACATTAGGCAAGCAGTGCCTGATAACAGCTGCAGAGTCTCTGTCCACCTCCTAACACACACACTGCCTGCAGAAGACACAGCTACTCCATCACCCGGGTCAGAGTCCATGCGAAAGGAAATGGAGGATTTGTCCTGAGTCTTTGCCTGCTGTTCGGCGAGACCATTAGTGTCTAGAAGAACACAGGTACGGAAGGTCTCAGGGAGGCTTCCATGCTTGTTTCCATGGGTGTGGTTCCCCTCCCCTACGGAATGTTTGGCTCATAAATCTTCTCTCTCACACCAGATCCTCCCGTTCATGCTCACCCAGCATCCTGCCTACCTCCTCCATTTTCCAGAAAGTTGGAGCCGTGTGGTTGGACAGGGCAAATGGACAAGAATAGAAGTGGTGCACGGGGTTGCCAGGCTGTGAAAGCCACACGCCTCCTTTTTCTCTGGATTCCTCCTCCTGGCAAACTGCAGGACATTTAGTCCAGATGAAGAGGCTCTGAGGTGGCAGGACCCCCATTTAGTGGGACTGTGGCAAACAGAGTTCCCCACCCATCAGCACTAGGTGAGGGTGAGCCTTGTGATTAAGAAAGAACCCTTTCCAAGATGAGCCTCTGAGAGTATCAGTCATAGCCTACTGTACTCTTATTACCTCTTTAGCTAAAATAAGCACCTACTATGTGCGAGGCCTTGGGTGGAACACCCAACAGCACAGTAGAAAAGATAGGAAAAACAAACAAGTAAACATGTGTTAAGCAGTCTGATCATTTCTATGAAGGACACAAACGAGTATGTCTTGGACAATAGTAGTTCACCCTCTGTATTTTGTTTTAGGAAGGCCTCTCTGAAGAGGGATGATGATGATGAAATTCAAGAAACCTTCCTGGCCAAGTGTGGGAGGAAGGGCAGAGCATTGCAGCAGTGGAACCGTGTATGCAAAGGCCCTGGGGTAGAAGAGAGAAGGGGATTCTGGGAGAAGCAGAAGGGAAGCCAGTGCGGCTGCAGCTTGCTACAGTCTGTTCAGGCATGGACCAAGTGAGGTGGGGGACACAGGCAGGGACAGATGACAGAGGCTCCTGTTTCTCCCAGTGAGAGGAAAGCCCATTGGGGGATTTTCAGTAAGAGAGAGACATGGTCTGATTGACTTTTAAAAGGACCACCCTGGCTGCTATAAGGAGGAGCAGGAGGAAGAGGAGAGAGCCTGTGGGCATCATCCTGGTGGGAGATGACAGTGCTCAGGGAGAAGAGAAAAAGGTCAGGCTTGAGAAAACTGTCACGGAGACTTAATCAGGTGCCACCAGTGCTGCAGATATTCCTGCCCTGCGCCCCACACCCGGAAGTTCACAGCTCCCCTTGCTGAGGCCCCGGCTCCTGCCAGCAGCAATTTGTGGCTTCCAGCCTGGTTCCATCAAAGGACGTTGTGCCTTGACCCTAAGAAAAAACTGAATGTCCTTGGAGTCGGGGGAGGGCGTACTGAGAGGCAAGAAGGCCTCTCATGTGGCTGCAGGTCACTGGAGGATTCTGAGCTCCAACCGAATCAGAGGGAACTGCCCCTAGGCATCCGAAACCCCCATCTACGTATCAGAGGCCCAGGATGCCAGGAATAAAACAGACAATAATGGGCATGGCCATTTATCATGGGGTGTTACTTGCTGTGGAGTTACAGGAAGTTGAATTGGGAGAGGATTTGGAGAACATTCTGGAAAGAGCTGATAGGAGGGCTCTGTGAGTCTTGGGGAAAGCCAGGTGCCTGCAGGGCAGGCCGAACCCTGGGGCCTCCAGGTCTCCCCAGGACCGCAGGTGGTCAGAGCTCAAAGGCAGAGGAGAGGAAGAGCAGCTGTGTCCGGCACGGGGACCACATCGGTACTCAGGCAGTGTGTCCACTTCCAGGTTCTGTGTTTCCATAACAACTCCAGGCCCTCACCCTCCCAGCCCTACTGCTTCAGGCTTTAAATGGGCAAATGAAGGAGAGAGGATAAAATTTGACTTTTCGTTGAGTAGGACAGTGATCCAGGAATTAAATTGCCCCTATTTAAGGCTGTTCTCTTCCAGCCCTCTGAGAAGATGTGATTTCACAAATTAGCCCGAGAACCCCGAATAAGTTAACCCCTCGGAGGCAGGAATGGGGCCCCTTCCATCACAGAAGGCTTGGGCCCACACGTTCAAGAGGCTTTCTGCCGCCCTTTCCCCCTGGGCCTGTTCAAGTCACTTTAGCTTCTCTCCAAGGAGCCAGCTCGGTCTGGCCCAAAATGCTGCCAATTGCAAAGAGCCGTGAGCACTCAAAAGTGGCGACCTGGGCCAGGAAACACAGAAAGGAGGAATTCTGTGTGTGACTAATGGATCCCAGACAGAGCCACTCCCCAATCACAGCCACGACTTTACAGTGAATTTCCAGTCGATTATAGCTGCCCAACTACTGATAGCTCTGCACAGAGGTGGCCAGTCAGGCTCACTCCCAGATGCCTGGGTCAGCGATTTCTGAAGCAGCCACTCAGCCGTTCCTGATCCTCCACGAGAGCCCGGCTCTCTCCTCCATCTCCCGGTCCCAGGACGGAATCTGGGGCTCCAAGTGTGGGGGGCTGCCCTGATCCACAGCAGATGGCAGGCCCTTCTCCCCACTCTGCCTCCAGGCCCCCAGGTGAGTAAACTAAGAAAGCCTGTTTGAGTTCATTTGAGGCTGACAGGTTCTTCTGGTCCGACTGACCTCCGCAAACACCTCCACAGTGAGGGAAACACGACTTGAGAGTTTGTAATGTGCTTCCTGCCCTGATGCCGTGGTTTTAATTAACAGGGTCACTGGTGGCTGTCCCTGGCAGACATCACAGTGGAGGCCAGGGAGGCCTGAGGAGGAGGAGCAGAGCGGCTTCTGTCTGCCTGGATCCTGCCAACACAGAAGCTGCAGCTCGGAGCAGAGCCACTGTTCCAGGCCACAGGCATATTCAGGTGGAACCCGAGCTGTTTCAGCTCCCAGGTGCAGTGGGCGCGCACAGTCCACGCCCCGGTGTCAGGCAGGCTGTTGGCTATCTCCAATTTGTTGCAGGAATGGCTGCGGTGAAATCCTGGTTGCAGCTGGCTCCAGGGCAGGCCAGGCTGCAGTTTGGCCCAACAGGCCCACCGGGCCTCCCGGGCCCCGGCATGAGTGCCAGCCTTGAGAAAATCAATCAGCTGCACTCTGATTAATTTCAAGCTCAGCTCACCCCGCCACTGGCACCGTGAGAGGCAGAGCCTACATCCCGGCCTGGCGCAGCCCTAGGCTGGACCAGTATCCAGCTGCAGCGTGGCAGCATGGTGCCCTCCCCTGCTATGGTGGTGGCGGGGGGCTGCTACCAGACAACTAGCAGGGGAGCCCTGAGAGAGGATTTTCAGTAGCTGATCACCGGCAGCTTCCTTGAGGCATTTCCTAATTTTCTGTTAATAACAAAGAGAGGCAGGGATTCATCATGTGGACCCCTGTCTTCTCCCCACTCTCAGTCTGTTTGGCCTCAGTCAATCATGTGATGACCTCCACCAGAAGTTCAGACCAAGCAAAATACAGGCGCCCCTCATTATCCATCTATTATCAGTTCCTGAAAATGCTTTGCAGAGTGAATGTTCAGACATCGGAAGCTCAGATCCCATTATGTGAAATGGGATAAAACAATAACGCATTCCCGGACTGTTCAAAAACCCCCAACCAATTTTCCAAATACCACTAAAACACTCTGAAACACCCATATAACAACACACTAAGGGTTTTTGCATAATACAAGCCTGTAAAACACCTCCTTTCTAATTAGTCCACACTGAATGATCTCACAAAGAGGAGTGTTGAGGTGCAATATTTAACTGCACCAAACAGAATCAGATTCAAGTTGTATTTTGCTTCTCCACTGCAAGGGGTGCATATAAAATGTAGCCCCACAAATGCAGATTGAAGAAAGGATCTCCTCAGGTAGAGCCCATTGGGAGTGCCCCCAGAGCCTGCCAGGAGCAAGCTGGGCACCACGGAGGGCTCAGCCCCAGGGCGGGGAGGCAGGGGAGGCCTGATAGGAGGAGAGCCAGGGTAGCGAGGGGGTCCCTGCGGTGTCCACCCAGCCACTCAGCTGCATGCCTACACCATGCTTTCCGCTGGCCCATCCTCTCAGATCAGTCACAGGGACTTTTCATTCTAGGGGTGAATTTGCTTGAAATGTTGACTAGTCATTAAGGTGACTGTTCAGGTCATGGGAGTTTGGGTGGCATGGTGGTCAGTACTTGGACCTGTCTCCCAAAGTTCCTTGACCAATAGCTGTGTGTGACAAGAAAGGCAGTGACCACGGGGAAGGGCTCTGGCACTCCTCTCCCCATTACCTGTTCCAGAAAACGGTCCCTGTGCTGTTTCCCCATCCACCTCCTCCCCACACAAGCCCCAGGCTGGGGTGACGTCACCAGGGCGAGGGTCCAGGCAGAAGCAGAAAGCAAGACAAACCCCCTGAGGGTGGCTCAGCTGAGGGTCTGGGAAAGAGAAAGTTTCTGGAAGAGGCATGGTGTGGAGGGGGGTGAGAGAGCCTGGGGAGCAGAAAGCCAAGGAAGAGGTTTAGCTGTGGTGAGAAGTCATAACTGGACCTTTTTAAAGTCCTTTGAGAAACCTACACTGAGACCCCACTCACCTTGAGGGGGTTTTGTTTGCTGGACTGTGCTTTCCTAAATGGGACACTGATCTGAGTCGAGACAGGTGGGGCCCCAAGTTCCACTGGAAAGTTTGTTTTGGTTTTTTCCTCAAATTTCCTACGTTGTGCAACAGTATCCAGTTTTTAACGGGACTGTGTGTGCCCCCAGGAAGTCTCATGTTTCAAGGGTGCCCCAAATGCACAGGCCCGGGGTCACAGTGCCCAGGCATCTTTTCATCGAAAATGTGCTGTCAGCCTGTCCGGCTGCAGGTGAGAACTAAGCCTACAGAGGGCCGGCAGTTCCCTGCAGGCCTCCGTGAACCAGGGTTGGACCCAGGCCGGCTGATTTATGCAGGTATACGTCTTCATTGTTTGTATAGGCATCCATATGCGTGCACAGGTAGGCATAGGTATATATGCATGTACACATGCATGTGTGTCTGTGTATGCATGTATACTTACATGCCTATCTGTGTGGGCCTGAGTGTGTATACATGTATCTATGTGTGTCTATGTGTATGTCTGTGTGCATGTGTGAGTATACGTGTATGTGTGTCTATATGTATGGGCGTGTGTTTACACGCACTTCTCTGCGTGTGTCCCCAGCTGCACTGTAAGACCCACACAGCCAGGGGCAGGCGCTCCATGGCTGTGTCCCTGGAGCACAAGCTCCCAGGGCCCCTAAGTGAGTGACTACCTGCCAGGCTCACCTCTGGGAACCCCCCCCTGCCCTCTGGGCCCTGTCTAGGGGGCTCCCCAGCCTCAGCTCCGCTGCACGGGTCCCAGTTTCCCCAGACACTGCAGGGACCTCGGCCGCTCCCCTGGCCACATCGTGTGACGACAGCCGGCCAGGAGAGGCAAGGCCTTGAGAGGAGGCCTGGGGAGGAAGTGAAATCCCCTCTCACTTAACAGCCTAATAAGGATTTGAACTGAAGTCTGTGAGGAATTGTCAGTTTAACTGTTTTCTCAGGTGTGGAGAACACGTCTCAGCTTTCCAGCACCAGGGGAGGAAAAAGTCAAGCTGGAGATGGGAGGATGCCGGCCTCTGGCACCGGCTCCGCAGGCCTGAGCCCCCTGCCCACCCCCAGGAGTCCCCAGCAAACTGCTCAGGGCCTCCCTAGACCTGGAGCTGGAGGCGGGGGGAGGGGAGAGCCATATGTGCAGGTGAGGGACGGGTCAGCCGTCTGCAGGAGACCAGGGGGAAATGATGTCATTGAGACACAGCGAGGAGCCGCTTGAAGACTTGAACACGTTTCCAGACGCGTGGGCAACTGAGTCACCTGGAGGGAGGGCCTGGCGGAAGGAGGGAGTCTGCAAAGCTCCTGACCAGAGGATGTGCGTGGATGCACCAGGTTGAACCATACGGGCAATTTCACCTTCTCTGCAGGTGGAATCCACTCCTGATCCTCCCTGCAGGTGCCCGTGCCCCCGCCCTGCCCCTGTTCTCCCCCCACCCCCGTGTATTCTGCTGTGACCAGACCACATTGGTTCTCAACACAGGAGCCACCCCACCTCCAGGGTCAGGCCAGCCTCCCCGTGCCTGGGACACCCTCCTGCTCCCTGGGCAGCAGCTCCTTCCACTAACTCAGGTCTCAGCCTTCCTTCCCCAAACACCGTCGCTAAAGCTGTCCCCACATAAATCTTACCGGACAGCCTCTTCGCATCCTTAATCGGGTTTTCCTCTTTGCACCTAGCACCATCCTGCTTTATCTTAACTCCTCACAGGCTATTTCTTTCCGTCCCAGTGGAAAGGGAGCTTTCTGGTGGTCACGGATCTGTCACGCGCTGGCCATGCTGCACCCCAGAGCTGGGAAGAGGACCGGCATGCAGTCGAGGCCCATAAACCTTTAATGGTGAGTGAGTGATGAACCACGGCACCAGGACTGCCCTGTTGGGAACACTGTCAAGGACTCCTTAAAGAGAGCATCATGCTCTCACCACTTCCACCCTGAGCCTTGGTGCTCTGGATGTTCAAGGAGCAGAGAGAAGGCCATCGGCTCTACAAGGGGCCCACTTGTGGAGCACGTGAGCGTCAGTGCCTGCTGGGAGCACGCGGGAGCCCCAGGGCCCTGGGCGCCGGCCACAAAGCCTGCGCTGAGTTTGTTTAGAGTCCTGCTCAGAATGAAGGACGGCTCTCAGGCTGGAGACCTCTTAATACAGCAAGCAAACACCACGGGGTTTTATAAGGCAGCTGCCGCCCGACAGACAGGGCACAGGCTCCCTTTTCTGGCTCGCTTCTGCCATCTGCTGGCCGCTCTTTGACATGCATGGGAGAAGAAGAGTTCTGTTTCCCAGGCTCACACAGGCTTTTGTTTCCTTCTGGGAAGAATTCATTGCGAATTTTACTCCTCCCTTGGCAAGAGCCGCCTGACTGACCCATCCCTTGAGTAGAGCAGACTCTAGGCCCCAGGTAGACTGGGGAAAGTCACCTGACCCCGCAGCTTATGACTCCCCCACTTTATGTATTTACTCTATCAGCACTCAATATCAAACCTGAGTAAGGGGCACAATTTACAGATGAGGGTGTGAAGTCAGAGAGATGTTGAGTAAGCTTGCACGGCAAGGAGGTGGAGCCAAGCAGTAAGGCACCTGAACACACATACCAACAACTATGCAAATGGCCCAGGTGACCTGCCCCTCCTGCTCCAAGAGACCCCGAGGGAGCACCAAAGAAAGAGGTATGTGGAAAAAGTGGAGGACAGGGCAGAGGGGTCCTGCAATTCATCTCCATCCTCTCAGAGGCTTAGAGAAGCTCCATCTTTTGACTTTCATCTTCTGATCTGGACAATGTAAGCATTGAACTGCATGATTTCAAGGTTCCATCCAGGGTTCTCTGGACAGAATAGAGAGAAAAAGAGTATGATGGTTAGAGGACAGGCTCTTTGGTCAGACAGACCCATGGTAGACTCGGCAATTCCACTCAGTAGCTCTGTGGACAAGAGGGAAGTTGTTTATAATCTCTAAGCCCCAGCTATATGGATAAAGGTCCATATAGTCAAAGCTATGGTTTTTCCAGTAGTCATGTACAGATATGAGAGCTGTACTGTAAAAAAAAAAGGCTTAGCACTGAAGAATTGATGCCTTCGAACTGTGGGGCTGGGGAAGACTCTTAAGAGTCCCTTGGACTACAAGGAGATCAAACCATTTGATAAAGGAAATCAACACTGAATATTTATTGGAAGGACTGATGCTGAAGCTGAAGATCCAATACTTTAGCCACCTGATATGAAGAGCTGACTCATTGGAAAAGACCCTGATGCTGGGAAAGATTGAAAGCAGGAGGAGAAGGGGACGACAGAGGACAAGATGATTGGATGGCATCACTGACTCGATGGACATGAGTTTGAGCAAACCCCAGGAGACAAACCCCAGGAGTGAAGGTCAGGGGAGCCTGGTGTGCTGCAGTCCATGGGGTCACAAAGAGTCAGACATGACTTAGCTACTGAACAACAACAGCAGCAGCTTCTCCTGGCCTATGGATTAATGAAGATAAAAGGAGGCCAAATGCAAAGTGGTGTACTGTGATGGCTCAGAGTAAGTGCTTAATAAATATTACCTGTCATTATAACACTACTCAAGGCTCTGAGAAGTCCTGCAGGAAGGCACTCTGCTCGACTCTTGCTCAGCCTCTCCCCAGTGTAGCAGCCTGCAGTGCCAGCATGGAACCGAGCAAGATGCATCGTCGCACAGAAAGCGTTTGTCCTCATCAGTTTACATGGCTTCCTGAAAGTCACGAGAACCGTAGGCCCCACTGAGACAGAATCAGGGCAGGAACCTGGGCTGGTGGCTCCAAGCTCTAAGCTCTCTGCTGCCTTTACAACATCTCTCTACCCCGAAGGCACTTCTCACCACCAATAAACAAAGGAGTTAGAAGCCATTCTCTCAGACTCCCAAAACTAAATATTTCACATTTGGATTCTGCAGTGCTTAGTTGTCAGCTTTACAGACCACAGGCAATTAAGAGTCCAAGCCCGGGAAGCCGGTTGTTAATAATTCTGTCATTATTCTCAATTTTCAGCACCACCACACATGAAACACCCATTTCCAATTTCTGTAAAGGTGCTAAATGGCTTTTGCACTGTGTCGTGAAAGTTTACCATCAGCCAAATGGCTGCAAAGAGGCCCTGCGGTCCCCAGGCCCGGGGCTGTGAGAACTGCTGTTTGGCCTGCCTCCGGGCGATACCCTTTCTCTGTGTTTCATGCTCAGGACAGGTAACCTCCTGAGACATGGCAGTCGTTGGTCACACTCAGGCTTGCAGGGCGTCACTGTCCCTCCAGATTTCACAAGACCCAAAGCGCAGGATGTGAGCAGGAAACCACTCCTTCCTGCTGGGGCAACACCCCAGAGCCAGATGGAGATAGCTAGCGACCAGCCTCTGTGACTGGTCTGAGTTGAGAAGAGGGAAGTGCGTGGGCATCAGGCCATGTCTGCAGAGAGAGCAAGTAGGAAGGTGGGCTTGAGGGCTGCTGAGGCTACAGGGCTGCATTTCCTTCTCACGATGAGGAAGCCCTGGAATCAGAAAGCAGAGCTTTTTGGAGAAGTGACAAGGCCTGGAGGTCGACAGCGGGAGATCCCTGCCCTGAAGCTGTGACCATAACCAGCACCAGGTCATGGCTACCGGTCTGCACACTACGTCCACCAGCCAGCCTTCTGAGAGTTTCCCTAGAGTGACTGCTCCTGAGACCCCGTGGGCCACCCCCGTTAGTAAGACGGGACGCGGCGAGGCCAGGAGCTTGGGACGAGGCCCTGGGGATGCTGTCTGGCACTGTCCTGCCCTGGAGACACCGAAACTGCACGGTGAGTCACGAGGCTCCTCTCCCACGTGGCTCTGAGGAGGGTGACTTTGCTGAGTCAGGTGACTCAGAGGGGAGCATAAGCGTGGGCAGGTGAAGGGAACAGGTAAGGTGGGACGGGGTGTTCCGGCAAGGGGAGAAGCTGTGACAATGGTGGCTTCATGCCAGGAGGGGCCAGGCCACCACTGAAGGACAGAATGATGAGGAGCTGGGCATCAAGAGCCACGTGGAGGGGCCTGGTGGGCAGGGCCGTGGGCAGGGCAGCACCACAAGCAGGCAGTCATGCAGGGTTTTGAACTGTGTGCTGTGAAGACAACAGGTGGCCCCACCTAGTTGGAGGCTGAGAGCCCACCTCCACAGGGAGAGGCCCCAGACTTCTGTGTTCACAGGATGTTCTGCAGGACATGGGACTCTACAGGCCTGCCCTATGCCGCCTGTCGGGAGTGGATGGAAGACCTCAGGAGTGGTGGATGTCCCCCTGAACACACACACACACACACATCCATACACATGCTTATACACGTAGACACGCACACTCGTACACAAACATGCACACATACACACTCATACATATATACACACATATACACATATATTCTCATACACATATACACATACATGCACATACATGTATATACACACATACACACATATTCATACATTAACACATATAAACACAGACTCACACATACCCCACCTAGGACACCCAGCTGGGGCGGGGCATGTGTGTCTCACACCTAAGGCTTCATCTGTTACAGGATCTCTAAGTTCTCGTCCAGCACAAACATTTCCTAACTGGGTCCATTTAGTATGGTGATTAGCAGGCAGTGACTGAATAAATGTTCACCAAGAGGTACCGATGAGACAACGATGGATAAGAAATTTAACAACAAACCAAACATCCAGGAGACACACCCAGTGTGTGTCTACCTTTTCGTCTACCCCCAAACTCAGAGACGAAATCAGGGAAACAAAGCTTCTAGGTCTGAAATGCCCAAGGACCCTCTCAAGGCAGCACTGGCCTCCAGTGGACATCAGTGCAGATACAAAGGCATGCTGTTGTACACGGAGCATTCTAACACAGATGTAACATGGCATTCTGTGTGCCTGAAGCAAATGTAAATACTGCTTCCTAATTTTTCTGACTATAGAAGTAATATATTCTCTAGGCATAAAATTTAGGGTTTATAGGTAGAAGCTTATAGAGAAGAAACCCAGCCAGTGAGCAGTAACCACCTTAAATGGTTTAGATGACTCTCTTCCTAGTCATCTACCTATGCTCAGGCAGACATTTCGTCTTTTTCAAAAATGGGAATAATATAAAAGAATTATATTCTGGTTTTTCGTCAAAATTTTATTGTTAGTATTTTATCATCATAGTAAAATGTTTAACACTTGTAATACACTGGCCGTGTATTTTTCCATTTACCTGGAGGTACCATAACGGACCCCCTGTTTTTACTTAAGGTGCTTCTAAGTTTTCATGCACATAGTTTGGGGAGAGTTCTTCTTCCTAGAAAACACTAGCCTAAGTCTCTGAACCAGTCCTCTCACTTGAAAAACAACAAAATCTGGACAAAAATGTAAAATCATCTGTTCAAAGATATCAGAGAGTTAACAGACTAATGAGAATATGTGGGGTCAAAATCTGGGAAAGAAAGGAACCCGGGAGGCAGGAAGACAAATGTTGGAGTGAACGAATGAACAAATGAATGAACAAGCTGATGAAGGAGGAACAAATGGGCCAACCCCGCAGGGCCTTTTAGCCACACAGGCAGCTGCTCTGGCTCCATCTCCGTCTCTCAGCCTGCTGACCAGTCATCCGTCTTGCTTTTCTAGAAGCGGTGTGTGCAGAGAACAGTGTTTGTCTGTGCTGCTCAGGGTGTGCTTTCATTTGGGATCACGGAGTTTACTCAACTAATAAATGGAATGGGAAAGAGGCCTCTGCCTGGTAGACAAAACAAAGTGAGGAGCGGGATTCGGGCCGACTCCTCCCGCTCCCAACTTAAAGCAGTAACCGCTCTCCCTGCGCGCTTTTTCCCTATCTTCAGTCTCCTCCTGCACACACGTGACACAGTCTGACATCCCTTCCAGTGGCAGTGAGCTTCCTGGCCACGTCTCTTTTCTACAAGAATCGCGCTGTGAGCCTGTGTGAACATGTTTACAGCTAACCTTGTGGAGCGTTACGTGAACGTATCTAATCCTCATAACAAGCCAGGGAGGTAGGAACCGCTGTTGCCATATTACAGAGATGGGAACGCTGAGACCAGAGAGGTTGATGTTACTTACTCATGGGCAAGATTTGCTCAGATTTAAACCCTGGCAACCTATGCCTTTTTGATCACCAGAAGCCTCAGAAACCAACATGATGATTTCTAAACAAATTCTAGCCCACGTCTGCTGTATTTACTCAGCCTGCTATATCCAGGGGCTGTAAGTTTCTTGGGTTTAATTTAATGAGAGCTCAGTCAGTAAAGAATCTGCCTGCAGTGCAGGAGACCCGGGTTTGATACTTGGGTTGGGAAGATCCCCTGGAGAAAGAAATGGCAACCCACTCCAGTATCCTTGCCTGGAAAATCTCATGGACAGAGGAGCTTCACGCACAGAGGACAGGCTGCAGTCCATGGGGTCGCAAAGAGTCGGGCATGACTGCGACTGGGGTAGGGACTAGCACTACACTACACTATATTATTGGAAAAGATATTTTCACTCATTTCACTTATACATAAGCAGACAAAAGATTATATAGAGACACATACTGGATACATCGTGGCTATAATTATTTTTAAATAAACTTATCTTCTAGATCAATTAAGAATAAGAAAAAGAAAGGTTTTTATTTTACCTTGGCCTCTTCCTTCTCTGATGCTCTTCTTTCTTCATGTAGATGTGAGTGGCTGACCTATATCATTGTCCTCTCTAAAGAACTTCTAACATTTCTTGCAAGGCAAGTCTACTGGCAACAAATTCCCTCAATTTTTGTTTGACTGAGGAAGCCTTTATTTCTTCTTCACTTCTGAAAGATAATTTCACAGGATACAGAGCTGTAGACTGGTGGGGTTCTCCTGTCAACACTTCATATCTTTTACTTCTCTCTCTCGCTTGCATAGTTTTTAAAAAGTTGGATGCCATTCTTATCTCTGCTCCTCGACAGGTATTGTGTGTTCTTTCCTTTGACTTCTTTCAGGATTTTTTCTTTATCTTTGATTTTTCTGTAGCTTGTTTGATAATGATAAGCCTAGATGCAGGTGTAGGGGCATTTTACCATGTTCAATGTTCTCTGAGCTTCCTGGATCTGTAATTTGGTATCTGACGTTCATTTGGGGGAATATCTCAGTCATTGTTGTTTTAAATGTTTCTTCCCTCTTTCTTCTCCTTTTGTAATTCTCATTACATGTGTGTCATACCTTTGGTAGTAGCCCCACAATTCTTGGATATTCTGTTCTGTTTTTTTTTCTTTTTAATCTTTTGTTCTCTTTCAAGTTTGGCTGCATTCTGTTGAGATCTCTTTAAGCGCAGAGATTCTTTTCTCAGCCATATCCAATCTACTAACAATCCATCAAAGGCATTCTTCATTTCTCTCATGTGTTTTTGATCTCTAGTGTTTCATTTCAGTTCTTAGAATTTCTCTCTACTTACATTGCCCATTTGTTCTTACATGCTGTTTTTGTTATCTGTTTAAGCTCTTAGCATCTTAATCATAGTTGTTTTAAATTCATGGTTTGATAATTCCAAATACCCCTGCCATATCTGAATTTGATTCTCCTATTTTTCTCTGTCTTTTCAAATTGTGTTTTTTGTCTTCTGGTATGCCTTGTAATTTTTTATTGATAAGTGAATATGATGTACCAGAAGGGAAAAAGGAAATGCTGTAAATAGGCCTTTAGTGATATGTTGGTGAGGAGTGGGGGAAGGGGATGAGTCCTTTAGCCTATTATATTCAGGTCTCAGTCTTTTATTGAGCCTGTGCCTCTGGACTGTGAACTTCACAAATGTTTCTGACTTTTTTTTATTTCCCCATAGGTAGGACAGAATGGCTGTTGTGAGCAGGAGTTGGGTATTTCCCTTCCTCCAGGTCAGCTGTGGAGGAGGTAGCAGGGAAGCTGATGAATCCCCCAGAGGTTAGATTCTGGCGGACTCGTTTCTCCTGAGGGCAGACCTTATTGAAAACAGAATGCCCTGATGTATTTCAAAATGATTCCTTTTCCCCTACCCTCTCGGAAGCAAGAGTGAATTCCCCCAACCCCTCTCCTCCACCCGCCAGACTCACTATGAAAACCTGGCCGAGCTCCTCCAGGTAAAATGCACACAGTGTCAGGGCCCTGACGTCTGGATCCTCCTGGAGCTTGGCCTTCTCAGACTTGTCCATACTGAGCTTCAGCAAATCACCAGAGTTTAAGTTTCCCTACCCCAGGATTGACCACTACGAGCTTTCTGCCCAAGCACATTGTGTTTCTCTGTACCTCCTGTCAATCTCTCTAGTCTGGGGGCAACAGTCGGCCCCGTGACCTCACTACTCTGAAAGATCAAAAAAGAGCTGGTGGTTTCAGGTTTTTCAGCTTTTTACCTGTTCGCAAGATGCAATGGCGTCTTTCAGCTTCTTACTTGCTGGGCCAGAAACCAAAAGTCTCTAATTACATATTTCATATCATCTTTTTATGGTTTTCTCCCATTTGTGACAAATGTTATTAGTTTTCCATTTAGAAGACATTTTCCATTTGGGAGGTTTACTTTTTAAGTCCATTTATTTTAAGGGGAAAAATGAGAGTGTGTTTGTTTTTTGTTTTTAACGAAGGAGATAACAGGACCAGTGTTGCACAAACAACAAAGATCTTGAAGGTGGTATTTGAACGACCGAAGTTGGGGAGCTGGAGGTAGTGGATTTAACACAGCAGGAGCTCAGTAAGTGTACTGTAAATTGGAGCTGTTATCGTTAGGATTATTAGCCCTGGTTAGCTGGCCCAGTATGAGCAAAGGAGCCAGCTTGTGCTAACCCACTTCGAGCCACCACCCTTTGGGAAAATAGATGGGCTCTGAGGGCAGAAGGGTAACTACACAGGGGACTGGAGCCACTGTGTCGGGTGGCCATTCATTGCCTTCTCTCCATGAAGCTTCCAAACAACCCCCGCTGGTGGTTGCAATCAAACCCCCCAACTTGGGTTTCCCTCCAGTCACAAAAATATGCCCCTTATGGCTCAAACAGATGCTCGTTGGGTTTTAGACCATGGGCAAATTAACAGACTAATTCATCCCCGCTCCATTAGGAACAATATTTGAGCCCTGTCAATAGCCACCAGCTCCACGCTGGCAGACAAGACCACCAACTGCTCAGGAGACCCAAGGAGGCAGATGGCATCCTTTGCCTGTGATCATTCAGCAGAGTCCTGGGGTGGCAGACCCGGAGATGGGACACATCTCCTGGACACCTGGGCAACAATCTTCCAGCCTCCAGAACCTCCCTGCCCTTCACAATCTGGTCTCAATAACCCAAGCTTTGACATCACACATTTCTCTGGTCAAGTCCTCCCCAGAATATTTCTGAGGATTCTAGGAGATAAGGGAGGAAGGCATATCCTTTCTGACAGTCACCGAACCCTTCCTCTTACTTCTGTCCAGGACCACTTATGTCTCATCTTTGTCATAGTTGGGACCCACGCACTGCTGAATTCTGTCTCAAACCTGAACATGCCCTCTTTTCCTTTCCCCAGTACATGACCCCACCAAGGCTCATGCAGAGTTAGTGGGCATAAGATTGCACAATGCTTCTGAGTAGGGCTTCCCCGGTGGCTCAGTGGTAAAAGAAACCGCCTGCCTATGCAGGAGACGCAAGAGATGCCGGTTCCATCCCTGGGTCAAGAAAATCCCCTGGAGAAGGAAATGACAACCCACTCTAGTATTCTTGCCTGGAGAATCCCATGGACAGAGGAGCCAGGTGGGCCACAGTCCATGCGGTTGCAAAGTGTCGAACACGACTGAGCACGCACCCGTGCCTGCCTCAGGGGAGGAGCAGTGTGATAAAGGCAAGTGATGGCAAATACAGACAAGTGGAAACAAGACTCAGAGGATAGGGATGGGTGAGCCAGTCTCATCCCGTCACAGGAGCTTCAAACTGCTCTTCCCTGCCCCCAGCACAGGGTCCTGTTCTCCCAGGGCCTCTCACCCCACTTCCCTGGTGCCCCATGCCTGCCTCCAACCTTCTTTTTCTGGGCCTCCCAATTCTTTTGGGCCTCCCAAAAGAATTGCATTAGGGGCCACTGCTCAGAGGACCAGGAAGTGGAAACTACAATGGGGAACATTTCCATCCCCGAGAGTGAACATTTCTAATTGGAACATGGACTCATGTTTATCTTACTTTTCAGAATAACGTGGTGGAGATGTCCTCATTCTAGGCAATGCCCTGCTCTTTGTCTCTTGTGACAAATAAGCCCCACTCTTTCCCTGACGGTGAATTTTCCTTCCACTTGGCAATGCAGCCAGCATGGTTTATGTGCAGTTTTCAAGCAGGACCTTCTCCTGGTCCTATTTCCTCTCAGAGTAGGTCTCTGTGGCTCTCTGCTTCCATGCTGGGAGCAGTTTGGATGACCTCAGGCCAGCTGGTTTTTTTTTGGAAGACTGCCCAAGAAGCTGCTAATCCCCTTGATCTTGGTCACAAATCCGTCATCTTCTATGTTGACCTTCTTGGCAGATAATCAAAATGTGCTAAATTCTAAAACCACTTTCCCTTTGGTGTCTGAATATCTTGTGGGTTTGGTGGGACTTCAGAAACCAGTAGGGGTAATTTGTTTCCTCTCTCTTCTGCTATTCAAACATGACTTTAAAGTCTGTCCCCAAAGTAGAAATAAAACTCGAGTGTGTGTTAAGCTTTGGACCCAGTGGGATGTGGCTGCTGAGGTGTGGGTCCTTATCCTGACATGTTGTAACCTACATCTCCCACATTCCCTTGACTCTGTGTTCCAGGTCAGGGATCACCAGGAGAGAAATGTCTGGGCAGTTTGGAAGGCAGATGTGACATGGTGTGAAATGGGCTCTGATGGGCCAGGACTTGTGGAAGCTCCTGCCTGTCGCTGTCAATTGTCCCAGGGCAGCAAGAGGACCAGCAGCTCCTCCAGCTCCAGAGAATCCTGGGCCAGGTGCGTGACCAGTAATGTTGTAGGAAAGGGGACCCCTTCCAGGGCCCGAAACCGGGCTCTTGTCTAACACTCAGAAATGAATTGTCCAAGGAGACACATGTGCTGACAAAGCAAGAGATTTTATTGGGAAAGGGCACCCGAGCAGAGAGCAAGAGGGTAAGGGAACCCAGGAGAACTGCTCTGTCACATGGCTTGCAGTCTCGGGTTTTATGGTGAGGGGATTAGTTTCCAGGTTGTCCTTAGCCAATCATTCTGACTCAGAGTCCTTCCTGGTGGTGCATGCCTTGTTCAGCCAAGATGGATGCCAGAGAGAAGGATTCTGGGAGGTGGTCGGACAGGTGGTGTCTCCTTTTGACCTTTCCCAAACTCTTCTGGTTGGTGGAGGCTACCTCCTGTCATAAAACGACTCATGCAAATGGTTACTATGGTGCCTGACGAGGGTGGGCAGTTTTAATCAGTGTGCTTCCCCTAACAGTAATGTATGAAGGTGGCCAGCAAATCACGCATGTTGTCGATTTGGGGATGCTATGAGACTGAAGCAGGTTCTAGTCCATTCTGTGGGCTCCAGTCTCACGCCACCCCACCCCTTGCTGTGTGCCCTGCCTTACTGACCTCTGGGAACTTTGGGCCAAACACCCAGCATGAAGGCATCAGCCTTCCAGAGGCTCCATCACCACCTTCATCACCACATAACTTCATCACTTCACAACCTCACCATCCATCCGAGAACACACAGGCCCCATAATAAATCTTATTCCAAATAGTTTACAGGAGTGGATGAAGGAAGCACAACTGCTTATCGACACAGCCCTGGACTCGATGGTCCTGAGGCCACAATTAAATTCTTGGGGTCACAGGTCGACGTGAGAATCAAGTGAAAGCCACAGACTCCGTCACAGACATGTACTTAAAGATAACACATTTTGCCCAATGATAGTGGGTGTTAGTGGTTATCACGCTTTAAGGTGCACACGTATCACCAGGGGATCTCAGACACTTACTGAAATGCAGACACAAGTGCTGCAGGCCTGGGGTGGGGCCCAGGGTTCTGCATTTCTAATAAGCTCCCTGGGCCGTTCTGGCACATTCCATCCATCGTTACCGTGTATCCTGCGGCCATCTGTCCTCCACTTGAACCGGCAAGGGGCTTTGTCACTCAGCTGTTACTTCAGCTCTCGCTGCTGAAGTGTCCAGCTCGCAGCAGGCACCGTGCAGTGTAACAGAAGAGGGTAGGACAGCACTTGCCCCTGAAAGCCTTGCCCGTGGCCAAACGGGAAGGCAGACAAGCCAGGAGGTGGCACACCGCGCCCATGCCACGCGAGGGGGCCATGTGAGGAGCCCACAGGCCAGAGGAGAACACAGCCGGGGCCTGGGTGCTGGCCAGGCCACCTCAGCTGGCACCTGCAGGCAAGAAGGAGGGAGTCAGGAAAATCTCAGTGTGACTGGGGTATAGGATTCCAGGCCAGGCGTGGGCGAGACAGGCTGGAGGGGCACTCCTAGAACCTGGCCGTCCATTCGAGAACACAGCATGTGAAGGCTACACCTCGCGGCCCAACTCTTAGGCAATGGGTGTGAATGGCCCACATTCTGCAACATCTTCCCAGGAAGTATCATCCACTCTTAGGACCTAAATGAATATCACCCATCTGAAGACTGTTTGCGGTAAATGTCTTCATGGTTATTGAGAGTTTGACCTGGTCCCTCCAGCCCCATGCTTGATTTAAAATCCTTCCATCTGGAATTATTAGTTAAGGGCAGTTTAATCAAAGTAAAGATGGATGGTGGAAGCAGATTTCGCTGCTGGCATTCAGAAAAGCATGCTGTAGTTCTTTAATCGCGGTTGAGTGAAGCTTACCCGCTTTGAATTATTAGTTAATGGCATCTCTGCAAACGAATGATGTATTGGGCAAGGAAACTTTGCAAACGAACAGCAGATCCTGAACGGATGGGTATTTCGTCTGAAGCTGAAATGTGCGTTACTTGAACAATCTGTCTTCCTAGTGGAAACAAAGTCCAAATCAGAGGCTGACATTCAGCCTTGAGCTCAGATCTCTCTGTGCATTTGAGATGCTGGGGAGCACAATGGGGTCCCTTAATTCCCTGTTCACCTATGTCCCAGAAAGCTCCCTCGCAGCAGGCCTGGCCACTTTGGAGCAGCCGTGGGACAGAAGCACGCTTTCTGTGACTAACTAGGTGGCCCTTCACTAGGGCCCTGTCCTGAAACAGCCGCCCAGCCAGGCCGGCACTTTTCACTGCCCACACACCAGGGACCTGACACCAGCCCCCAGCCCTTCCCAAGAGGGACAACTCACCATCAGGGTCTCCTTGTCGGGACCCACCTCTACACTGCCTGTCATTACAGAGGTTCTCAGGGACCACAGGGAAGGACGTGAGGGGGACCGGTCATCTCCCCAGGCCATCCTCCTCAGATGGCTCAGCATCAGATCCCTGGGGAGGGCTCACTACTGCATGCAACACTGGCATCACCTGAGCCTGTAGGTCTGAGGCTGAGCCTGAGAACATGCACTTTAAGGAGTTCTTGGGTCACGATGTTGCTGCTGGTCTTAGAGGCACCCCACTTTGAGAACCGCTGCTCTAGACTGTGTCAGAGGCTTCTGGTCTAGGACAAAGGTCACCAGGAACCCAGCAGAACACCCCAGCAGGGACCAAAAGTGCACCTTCTATTTCAGCCTCAGGATCCTGGCCAAATCCTGCCTTCAAAAATAACCAATGCTAGGATCATGACCTGGCCTCATTAATCACGGCCCATCAAGGATATACAATGGAAAAAAGACAACCTCTTTAACAAGTGGTGCTGGGAAAACTGGTCAACCACCTGTAAAAGAATGAAACTAGAACACTTTCTAACACCATACACAAAAATAAACTCAAGATGGATTAAAGATCTAAATGTAAGACCAGAAACTATAAAACTCCTAGAGGAGAACATAGGCAAAACACTCTCCGACATAAATCACAGCAGGATCCTCTATGACCCACATCCCAGAATTTTAGAAATAAAAGCAAAAATAAACAAATGGGACCTAATGAAACTTAAAAGCTTTTGCACAACAAAGGAAACTATAAGCAAGGTGAAAAGACAGCCCTCAGATTGGGAGAAAATAATAGCAAACGAAGCAACAGACAAAGGATTAATCTCAAAAATATACAAGCAACTCCTCCAGCTCAACTCCAGAAAAATAAATGACCCAATCAAAAAATGGGCCAAAGAACTGAACAGACATTTCTCCAAGGAAGACATACAGATGGCACAAAAACACATGAAAAGATGCTCAACATCACTCATTATCAGAGAAATGCAAATCAAAACCACAATGAGGTACCATTACACACCAGTCAGGATGGCTGCTATCCAAAAGTCTACAAGCAATAAATGCTGGAGAGGGTGTGGAGAAAAGGGAACCCTCTTACACTGTTGGTGGGAATGCAAATTAGTACAGCCACTATGGAAAACAGTGTGGAGATTTCTTAAAAAGCTGGAAATAGAACTGCCATATGACCCAGCAATCCCACTTCTGGGCATACACACTGAGGAAACCAGATCTGAAAGAGACACGTGTACCCCAATGTTCATCGCAGCACTGTTTATAATAGCCAGGACATGGAAGCAACCTAGATGCCCATCAGCAGACGAATGGATGAAGAAGCTGTGGTACATATACACCATGGAATATTACTCAGCCATTAAAAAGAATTCATTTGAATCAGTTCTAATGAGATGGATGAAACTGGAGCCCATTATACAGAGCGAAGTAAGCCAGAAAGATAAAGACCATTACAGTATACTAACACATATATATGGAATTTAGAAAGATGGTAACGATAACCCTATGTGCAAAACAGAAAAAGAGACTCCTATGTATAGAACAGACTTGTGGACTCTGGGAGAAGGCGAGGGTGGGATGTTTCAAGAGAACAGCATTGAAACACGTATATTATCTAGGGTGAAACAGTTCACCAGCCCAGGTTGGGTGCATGAGACAAGTACTCGGGCCTGGTGCACTGGGAAGACCCAGAGGGATCGGGTGGAGAGGGAGGTGGGAGGGGGGACCGGGATGGGGAATACATGTAAAAAAAAAAAAAAAAAAAGATACACTATGGTTGTGATAAAAAATAAATAAATAAATAAATAAATAATTTAAAAAAAATATTCAAAAAAAAAAAAAAATCACGGCCCATGAGATCCCTCAGTGCACTGAACCAGGGCTCCCTGCCTGCCCAGCCCTGGGAACATCAGCCCAGGCAGATCAGCAGAGTGTTGGAGGACTCTAGGCCAATCCCCACTCATGACCAGCAGGGTCATGTAGGCCGCCCGCAGGACCCCAGTGAGCAGAGGGTCCCCAAGCCAGGTGCAATTGCCTTGAGGTTTCATCACGATGGTACAGGGAGGAGTGCGCTTTCCCAGTGGTAAAAGGTCCTCATACAATCCAGGAGATGCAGGTCCAATCCCTGGACTGGGAAGATTTCCTGGAGGAGGAAATGGCAACCCACCCCAGTGTTCTTTCCTGGGACAGAGGAGCCTGGTGGGCTACAATCCATGGGTGGCAAAGAGTAAGACACTGCTTAGTGACTAAACAACAGGGAGAAGCACTTTCGGCCTGGCACGTACTAGGGGCTCAATTAAAGCAGCCGCGGTGAATTATACTATTAAGAGCCGCTCCACCCGATTCTGCCCCTGGAAACTTAGTGTCTGCTGGAAGAGATGGCCTGTGCTCATAAATCAGTTACACAACAGTCCTGCCTGTTTGTGTGGCTTCTCAGCAGAGCATCTTCCTTGTTCATAGTTGGGGCATTAATCAGCTACTCCACCCACTGCCCCAGGCTGGTCGGCAGCAAGAGCTGGACAGATTTCCTGCCCACAGCCCCTCCCCAAGTGAGCTGATTCATTTCCTGTCCACGTCTGTCCCTCCTCAGATGCCGAGACCTGAAAGCATAACGCTAGCACCCACATCCCTGTGAGTTCCGCTGGTACTTGCAGGAATTTAAGATGCAGCTGCCCAGAGACATGGGGGCGCATTTCTGAAGCACTATGGGGTTAAAGCCCTGCCCCTTGGGCTTCCCCAGATGGTGCTAGGGGTAAAGAAGCCGCTTGCCAATGCAGGAGATGTAAGAGACTCAGGTTTGATACCTGGGTCGGGAAGATCTCCTGGACGAGGGAGTGGCAACCCACTCCAGTATTCTTGCCCCAAGAATCCCATGGACAGAGGAGCATGGTGGGCTACAGTCCTTGGGGTCACAAAGAGTCAGACATGACTAAAGTAACTTAGCATAGCATGCATGCTTCCTTTCAAAGTGTTCCTTTGCAAACTTTTCCAGTAAAGTTTTGCTGTTAAGACAGTCAAGCCAAGAGGACTGGGTTACAGAGTTCTGCAAATCTCTTAAGCAAAAGCGCCAAAAGTGGCATTTCGCTCGAGCCTGAGTGCTGAGGCCATCCTGACAGAAGCCAAGTGTGAGCCTCCAGAGCTGGCTGACCTTTGCAGCCAGAAGGCCTGCCTGCTGACCCTCGGTTATATCAGCTCTCCCCAGGCTGCCTCTGGAGAGCAGCTCTCTAAATGTAAGCCCTCAGCCCAGGACCAAGGTATTTTTATTTTTATTTATTTTTTAACTTATTTTTTGCATAGGCATAAATTAGAATCTGGAGATAAAAAAAAAAATTAAGAACCTATAGTGCAGCATTTGTGACAGAGAGCGCAAACAAAACCTGGCTGCCTGGGGCAGGGGCCGGTGCTGGAACAGCACAGGGGGTCTGTGGGGCCTTACCTTTGTTCCAGCCCCATCCTCTAGGAACTCTTCCAAGGGCACCCACCTCTGCAGTAGCCCTTCCTGCCCCCTCCCCACAGGCCGGAATGAACCACAGAGTAAGAACCCAGTCAGTGCCCCAGGCCCCTCTTGGCAGCCAGGTTACAAGGAACTGAATTCACCCAAGGCCCCACAGAACGGGGCTAGAAATCAAGCCCTTAGCTTCTCAGTTAAAAAAAAAACAAGACCTTGAAAAATATTTACACAATAGAGCACGGCCTGCCGGGTCCAAAAGCTCCCACCTCAGCACCCCCTCCTTAGCCACCCCCCACCCCCACCCGTGACTGCTCCCCATAGAAAATGAGTCAGAATAGAAACAATGAAGCAAGAGCTGAATGAGCCCCAGGGATGGCTTAGGATCAGGGGCCTGATGGGGTCGGGCAGGGCCGACAGTCTGCACCCCACCCGACCCTGGTGACACCCTGGATGTCACTCTCATCATGTCACTGGGCCACCACGAGAGCCCAGGGAGCTCCGTGAACACTGCTGGCTGCCCCCAGAGGACAGGTCTGCACCCCTACACCCTGGGGGAACGTGGCAGGCTTGCTCTGGGGAACAGGTGGGCCCGAGCCCGAGAGGGGAGCAGAGCGGGCCCTGGGCCCAGCGTCAGGAGAGAGAAGACAACTGCTGTCCCCGGCAGAGGGGCTCCTGTAGGCTCCCAGGAGCCAGACCCTCCAGGGTACAAGAAGGCGCTGGCCCACCCTGACCCAGGACCAGCAGGGTACAGAAGCCCTTCAAGGAACGCTATGGGCCTCGGCTGATGGCGCTGGTCCTCTCCCAGGAGCCTTGTGACCAAGGTATTTTTAGCCAACCGTGTGATGGCCACAGCTCTGAGGCTATGGTCAGGATAGGACCAGAGAACATTCCTGAACTGTGAGTCCCTGCTCTGGGCTGACTGGTTCCCATGGCTTCCCTCCTAACCCTTTCCCCAGAGCACACAGCTCTTCCTGACCAGTGTCAGGACAGACTTTGGCCCTAATGCCTGTAACACATCATCCCTTTATGGTTAACAGCACTGGGACACCGTTCCCCCCACTTGAAAGAATGTGGCATTATTGACAAAAGAGCCACTCACACTCAGACAAACTCCAAGAGCAAGGTGTCCAACCTGGACAGGACAGAGACATCCTTGGACCCAGTTTCCTGAATCTTCAGCTCCCCTGGGCTCCCTACTTTCACCATTTGTACCATCCCTTTCACCCTCCATAATGGCATTTATCCCAATACACTTTCTTAAGTGAAAGTATTAGTTGCTAAGTCATGTCCAACTCTTTTGCAACCCCATGGACTATAGCCCACCAGGCTCCTCTATTCATGGAATTTCTCAGGCAAGAATACTGGAGTGGGTTACTATTCCCTTCTCCAGGGGATCTTCCCAACCCAGGGATCAACTTCTTTACCATCTGAACCACCAGGGAAGCCCTTTCTTAACCTGTGTCTTAACTTTAGCCACATTCCAAGCACTACCATATATAATATCATAGGTTTGACATGTTATTATTTATTTTCTCCCATGCCTAAAAGGAACTTTTATTAAAATTTGTAGAAAAAGAAACTCTCCTGTGTGCCTCTGATAAGCAGTAATAAACCAGTGGGGAGGAAATCACACTGCAAACATCACTGCACTGTAGCCCCCTTGGTTCACCCAGGGAAAATTATTTATCACCAGGCCTTTGGACAAGTTATTTCCTCTGCCGTGTTCTCACTTTCTTTCCCCACCCTCTCTCTCTTTCTGACACACACACACACACACACACACACAACCCTCTTGCCCTCCTGAATAATTGACACCTCCTCCAGGAGTCCATTTCTGAGGTACTAACCTCAGAGAATAGACATTCACCCCTCTACTAGCTTCTCCTCAGCCCTGGGTGGCCTGACAGTTTTACTACCTATTGTGCTTCATGCTCTGGTGGCTCCTAGAAAAGACCCCTTTCTGTTAAGGGGTGATGAGGAGTGCAAGCTCTGGACTCAGCTCCTCTCCCTATTCACTTCTGAGCTGTGTGGCCTTGGGTGAGTTACTTGTTTTCCCCAAGTCTACCACTGTCATCTACAAAGTGAGGTTGATAACAGAATAGGAGAAATAATGTAGGCAAACGTTTAACACAGGCCTGGCACTTAATCAGTGCTCAGTAGATATTTGTGGAATGCATGCAGTCTGTATACAGACTGAGCTTAAACAATATTCCACAGCCTATTTAAGAGCTCCTACAGGTTTTTGAGAAATCATTGGCATCACCATGATCACCATTTGATAGGTTCCCAGACCAGGAGCCAGACTTCTTAAGTCAGATCCAGAACCTGTATTTGTACAAGCCCTCAGTGTGTTCTTGTTTCAGAACTAGGCTGTTTCTTCATAGGGACGGTGCTCAGCAGCTCAATGACCACTGACAGCCTGTAGATGGTTCCACAGATGCAGAGTCCCCAGGTCCACTCTCATTTCCCCATCACCCTCATACCTGATGCACCACTGCTTAACCTGGCCATGGAGTTCTCTCTGGAGCTATGGCCACAGGCGGTAGATATTAGTATTTGGAGACCATTCCATGGGAATGTGGTGCCCAAATAATAACTAATCTGTTCAGGACCCTAAAAGTCCAAGTTTGTTAATGTTGTTTATGATGATGGTGGTAGTGATGGTGATGGTGGTCGTGGAGATGGTAATGGTGGTAGTAGTGATAATGATGGTGATGGTGGAGGTGATGGTGATGATGGAGGTGATGGTGATGATGGAGGTGATGGTGATGATGAAGAGGGTGATGCCAATGACAGTGATATCAATGATTTCTTGAAAACCTGTAAGAGAAGGACTATTGTTTTCCCCTCTTTACAGACCAAGCAACAGGGGCTCAAAGTGTTGAATAAACTTAATCAGGCAGGAGGTGAATGATGGACTTGATGCCAAGCCCTGGCTTTCTCCCAAACCACAGCAGATGTTCTAAACACCTACCATATGTCTTCTATTAATATATACAGTGTTTTCATCCCCTGTGGGACACCAGGGTTGGAAACATGATTCTTTTGTTGGGTTACATTCGAGTTCTCCATAATTCTACCATCTCAATCAGCGTCTCAAGTTTAGTTCCTGACTAACAGATACAGGAATAGAAATCCATCTCATGGTGGTAGAGAGGTAACGTGCTTTCAATATGCGTGTGTTCCTCTCCATCTCCCAGTGAAAATCACTTGTGGCCAAGGGACCACTTCTAGCCAAAAGGATTAAAGAGCCACTGTGTTTTTTCATCTTTTCACCACTGCAGCAAATTTGGAAGTCCAAATTGTACTGTTACTGGCCTTTGTCAAAATGAGAAATAAAGCTTTGTTAGGTTAAGGGAACTTGTGGATTTATCTATTCAAGCTGCTTGCTTTAACTTCCCTGACTGCATACAGAGATTAATTTCAGGGTTAATTTCTCATTCCAACTTCTCCCATTCATTGCAAAGCTCAGGCGTTTATGGTGGCACTTTAATAATTAGAGTTACTGCATTATTTTAAAATTATTCTTAGCCTGTTTGGCTTTTGAGGAACAATTCAGTGTTTGCTCCATGTTTAAAAACTGACTTATAGAATGTGTCAAGTCTTACAGTCAATGTCACCGAAGTTATTAAAAGCTAAGAGAAGCAGACAGCTGCCTGTTGGGTCTTGATTTACAAGTCATGTGATGGATTAAGTTAATAAGCTTCCAAAGTAGGAGATAAAAGCTTCAGAAAGGCAGATCCAGAAAGTGAAAACACAAAGACAGTGCTAGCCACGTGGCCTCTAATAAACACCCAGAGAAGCCCAGAGTAGGAGCAGGAGTCCTATAGCTGCTCACCTTGTCCCATTCCTGCTCTCCCTCAACCTGTCTTCCAAAGAAACTTGCATATCCCGCAAAGCTGTGCAAAAAATGCAACAGAAGAATATCAACTTCTGTGGAAATTACAAACAGAATTTCATGAATATCACCCTCCTTTCATCTAAAGAACCTAAGGAAGTTTTTACAAATAATCAAGTTCAATTAACCCCCAAATATTAAATCTCAGATGCCTGAATCCTTAACTGAATCTTTTTAAGGAGGAGAAATCCATTACATGCACAAACATAGACTCAGACCTTGATGGCAAGGAAGAACTTTCATGGAATTGGTCATTTGGATCAAAGCCCATTGTTTCCATCTTCCAGGTTCTGCTAGTCTTAGTTTCATCTTTCTTAACTGTTCTGCTGCAGCCCCTGTCCAGCTGTGGCCCGTCTCATCAATGTGGCCCCTTTAAGCCCCTCAAAGCAGGGGTAGCAGCTCATGGGGATCGCAGGGGTCTCTGGGAAAGTTTGACTCCCAGTTAAAACTTCTGGAGCAATCATTTCATTAAAGGGAATTTTCTCACTTAGACTTGTTTCTAAAAACTGAAATCAAGCACAGAAGTAAGCTAATTGGTACAGATAATTGCCCAGGGGGTTGTGGCATCACAAGTTGGTACAGGACCAGAGAAATGGAGTTAGCCATTATTCGGGGTCAGCCTCTGTCCTTCTCTCTTGTCAGCTCCTCTCCATGCTGCCTGATATGTTCCCCTTGGCCCTTGAAATGCCACAGCTTCCCCTCATGGTTGCAGAATGGCTGCCACTGCCCCTGCACTTATACCCACTCAGGTTCCCTACCCAAAGACTTGAGTAGAACTCCTGGGCCTGACCCTCATTGCCTCAGATTGGCCAATGTGCTCATCTCTGAGCCAATTACGGTTGTGATCCTAACTAGCTTAGGTCACTCACAATCTACCTCTAGAGCCCATGAGAGCAGGGGATGAAGAAACAGGACTGCCCAAAGGAATTCCCAGAAGAAGAGTGAAGAGATGTGTTGGAAAGACAGTCCTACAGACAGATTCCTACAATACCAACATACCAAAGTTCCTCTGCCATAGTTGATTCTGGGTCACATTGATGTCCTTGAAAATGCTGAGACTCTGGGGAGCTGAGGTGGGAAAACCATCCATCAGAATGGAACCTCAGTCTTACAAATAGACACTGATGCACAGATTGGGGAAGATTCCAGCAAGTGAGAGGCAGAGCTGGACCCCTTTTCAGATCATATGTCCTGCTGTGGACTATGCCTGGCTCTGGTCTCCATAAATGCTACAGATTCCACATCAGCTTTCTGTTAATCATGGTACCTGGCACGATGAGCTCATTTTGCTGAGTCAAAAGCATTTCACATATGAATTCTGTCTACTCCAGGTTTGTTTGGTCAGGGGCAATCAGCTCCTGTCTAATTATCTTTATTCTGTTTTCAGTCCCTGCAGGAAGTGGCTTAAGAGCATTTTGACGACAGGGCAGTGTCACCCAGGCTAAGTGGTGGAAGGGGGGCAGCCCTGGCCCAGAGGGACCCCCTGAGATACATGACTGACTGCACAGCTTCTGTGTCTCAGCTCATCTGAGGGGGGTCGCTCTTTTAAAAGAGAGGTCATTAGCTTCCTGCCATCTGAACGGCATCTCAGAGTGGGTCAGCATGGGTCTATGGCAGGGTTTTCCACCCTTGGCACTATTGGCCTTCTTGACTGGCTCATTCTCTGTTGTGGGCACCATCCTGTGCCCTGTGGGATGTTTAGCAGGATCCCTAGCCTTCACCCCCCGCCCCCCGCCCATTCCAGGAGCACCCTTCCCTGAGTCGCAACAACTGTCTCCAGACATCGCCCAGGGCCCCTGAAACAAAATCGCCCTGATTGGGACCCCTGGCCTGTGGAACATGCCTTTAAAGTACAGCCCCTAGAGCTCTCAGTGGCTGCTGACTCCA